AATAAATTTATGGCTTTTAAAAATGTTTAACTCAAACTTGACTCCCACTCCCCACTCCCCACCCACCACTGTGTGGCGCACTTCTAAACGTTGGCCATGTTTGCTGTGGTTGCTGTTGTGTCACAGATTTATAGCCAGCCCAGCCCAGCCCACCCCACACCAAAGAAAAGGGAAAACGGGAAAACTTCTTCGTTGGTTGGGCAGGGGGGGAGGGGCCTACAATCCCAGCGAGCGAACAAACGCCAAGGGAAAGCGAATAAAGTTTACGATTTTGCAGGTAGTCAAATTGAATAAATGTTAAGACAATTGCTGGCAAGAGTTAACTTTTGGTCATGGCACAAAAGTGCTTATCCCTGGCCCTGGCGCCCAAGTCGGGCTTTCTTGTGGGTTCAAACAATCAAACATGGAGAGGGGAGGGTCCCACTCCGACTTCTGGCCTGGGCCCCATCAAATGTCGGTGCAAATTTCATTAAAAATAAACTTTTTTCTAGCAAAAAAAAAAAAACGCGAGTACATTTTCATTTTATTTGTAGGTAAAAAAAATCACGGTTTGGGCACTTCCTCTCCGCATCCCGCTTCCAGCACGTGGAACCAACTGGAGAGAACACCCCCACCACCACTCCCGCCGCTCCATCTCATTCTCTCTCTCTTCGAATTGGCTTGGTTTTTATGGTCGTTGGCGCTTTTTATGACCACCAGAAGCAGAAGCAGCAGCAGCAGCAGCAACAGAACCAGCATTTGCCTCATTTCACTCCTGAGCGCGGCATCCCTCTCAGTCCTCTCAGTCCTTAACCCTCAGCCCGTCCCTCTGCAGCAGTCTCTGGCTCTCTAATTTGAATACCTGGCTGAGAATGAGAATCTGTTTGGTAATTTCTGGCGCTGCTGCTGCTGCTTTTTGCCTGCTGCCTTCCCGAGAGTTTCCCCGATAACGTTTCCCATAGCTCTTTATTGCTTTTAAATGTTTTTTTTTTTAGCCGCCTGCGAAAGGCTTTTGCCATAAAAACTAGACGATGGGACGGGGTACACGAGCGGGAATTGGTATAGAAATTTTGATATAGGAATTGTTTTTAGAGCCGCAGGAACTGCTCCAACTTTTGGCTGCGAACCCTTTCAACTCCCAACAATTACCCAATCGGTGGGTGGCAGGGCAGGTCAGGGGATATGCTGCCTCATGATGCAGAGTGCATCTCCTACTCCTGCTCCTGCTCCTGCTCCTTTTTGTGCCTGACCTACGCTACTACTTATGATGAACCGGACTTGGGACAGGAGAGGACAGGCACTGGCGTTCCATGGAGTGCAGTTCAGTGCAGTGCCAAGAGCTAAGTGCCGCTTCCGGTGGTCGTTGGTCGTTGGTCCACAAAAAGCTGCAGGTCCGACCGAGTCCGAGGCCATAAATCTGCAGGCAAAAAGCCGAAAGACTTACGCTGCACTGCCTCTGCCCTGCCCCTGCCGCTGCCCCTGCCTTGCCCGTGCTCATCGCCTGTACGCCAGGGGCGTAACTTATTTGCAATGCACTGAGAGAAATACTACAGCGAAAGGCTGCCACCAAGTAGGGATACACCCACGAATGATCTCAATCCGGCAGCCCATCGCAGCCATTGCTCGACGCGAGTTTTATTCCGCAGTGTAGCCAGGAAATTGCAGCAGAGCATCCACCTACAGGGGCCGCAGTTATTGTTGCAATTAATAAGAAAGTCGCCCGGGGGCAAAAAGCAAGCGCAGCGGCGTCTGCCGTGCCGTGCCGTGCGTTGGCACTTGGTTGGGCGGCGGCGGCGACGGCGACGGGCAGCCACTCGTCAGGGGGCTGAGCTGACCCCTGCAGCCACACAAAGGGAGGGGGCAAAGAGAGGTGAGTGGTGTGAGGATGGTGGAGCGAGGCGAGAGGCCAGCAGCAGCAGCAGCGTGAAATGTCCTTTGCACATTACATTTGCATTGCAGTTACAAGAATTTCGCATTTATCGCAGCCAGAAGCAGCAGCAGCAACTGCAACAACAGCAACAACAGCAACAACAACCAAGGCAAAAGATGAACATGCAACGCAGAGGAAGGGAGGCAGACGCAGAAAGAGCACCAAGAGCATCTGAAGAGAATGCGACAACAATGGACACTGGGCCAGAAATCTCGTCGCCAGCGTCGTCGCTAACAACTCGTGGCATTGCAGCTGCCAGATGTGGCAGGAATAGAAATGTGGAGGTGGGTGGCGGGTGGTGGCAGAGCCAAGGCGAGGCGAGGCGAGGTAAGGCGAGGCAAGGCGCAACATTTATTGTTTGCAAAGCCTTGTTTATTATTTTACGTGCATTTCGCTCTGTTGCCATCTTCGGCTGCAGCAGGGGCAGGGGCAGGGGCAAGGAGCAGGGGCAGGAGCAAGGAGCAGTGGGGAGCAGAGGTGGAGCAGAGGCAGGGAGCAGGAGCAAGGAGCAGTGGCAGGGGCAGTCGAAGCAAGGACTCTTTATGATTCACTCGGTGGCTCCTTTTTGGTCGAGGACATTTTGTAAATAGCAATGCCGTCCGTGCCCCGGCACAGAGCTTTGCCTTGGCTGGGATTTTCTCTCATCGTTCTCCTCGCCCCACCAGAACTCCTCCACCCCCAACCCCCACCCTCTGCCCCATATTCTGGCTGCGATTTTATTCACTCTCCACGGTTTATGTATGGCCCCTGCTGCCCCTGCCACTGCCGCATCCTTCTGACCCGGAACCTACGTATAGCCGCCCCACACCCCCACCCCGATTACACCTCGTCCGTCACTCGTTGGTGGTGGCTGCCGCCGCCGCCGCCGCTGCTGCCGCTGCTGCTGCTGCTGCGTCTTGGACTTGGATTTGGGTCCTGGTTGCTGGTTGCTGGTTCCTGGGGATGCGGTGGTTTTCTTTATGTTTTTTAATGCCGTGCGCCAAAAGTCCTTTTGTTTGTACACTTGTACTTTATGTACCGAGTGAAATTTATGCGCCTCTAAGTGGATTCGTGGATTCGTGGATTTCCACCACACCGCACTGCACCGCACCGCACCCCTCTGGTTGCTCTGTTTCCTGTATCCTGCATTTGTGCCTGCCAAACAGGAAATGCAATCCTTAGCATCCATAAAACTTGTCCAAAAAATTCTTGGGCCCAGGCCCAAGGCAAATGGGCCCTCCTCTGCCTCTTCCCCCTGCCGCTACCAGCCTCAGTCTCAGTCTCAGCCTCAGTCTCTGCCTTAAGATGTCCCAGCAGTCTCTTCAGACTTCTGCTTCCATTTTTCCATATCCCATCCATCGAATCACAATCATTCGACGCGTGTCCCAGGCCCTCGGCTGACTGCTCATCCGCGCATTTAATCGCACAACTTTGCAGTATATTAAAGCTGCCCAAACACTCGTAGATATCCCACTGTCTTCCACCGAAATGAACATAAAAATGGAGGCCTGTTCCAATCCTCAATTAACGCGAAAACAAAACGAAAACAAAACGCAACACGAAGCAGCAGGAAAGCAGGTGGAGGGGGGCAGCAAAACGGAGGACGAAATGGTAATTTCTGTTGCTAATTGGAAATCAAGGGGAGTAAAGGCAGTAAAGGCAAAAGGACATCGCGGGAGGGGGCGGGGGGTGCAGTCCGAAGGTAATCCAGGGCAGGAAAGGTAGAACTGCCAGAAGCCAAACCGGAAGCAAAGACACAGACCCTCCTCCATCTCTTCGTCCTTCCTTCCATCAGCAGGAAAAGTCTCGGCATTGGTCAATGCTCAGGAGAGCGTCACAAATGTTTGTCCATTTTGAAGGAAATTAATGCGAAATGTAACAATCGAATTAGGCTTAAAGGAGCACAAGAACCCAAGCGCCCAAGCACCCAAGAACCAAAGCGCCCAAGAGCCCCCACCCCAAACGAAGCGAGAACCGAACCGCTTCGAAACCGATTCGCCACGAATCGTTATACGATTCAATGGGTGGGGCTAAACAGCTGCCTGCCACCCGCCAGTGACCTTCAAAGACCAGGCCATACTCCAAAATTGATTTTAGGTATTCATTGGCAATGGGGCTGCGGGCCAGCAATTCTCATAAATTAAACATGGCACCCCCACCCCCCCTGCACACATAAACTAACGTGAGAAATGCCAGAGCCGGAGCAGTGCCGCATAAAAATGCCAGCATTTAACTCTGTATATTTGAAATATTTTAAATATAAATTTCAATATTAAACTGCGTTCGCCGACAGGAAACTGCTGCCAGTCCCAGCCCCAGCAACAGCCCCAACCCAAGCCCAACAGTCAACGAGCGATGGTAGCAGCGGAAGAGGAAAACGCTGGCAGTCGGACGGGCAGGACGGGCAGGACGAGCAGGAGAGCGGAAATGATCCATCGACGCTCGAGTTGGTTGTCCCAAAACGGTCCACAAACCCATCCAGTCGTTGGGCATTGGTCATGGGTTGCACGGGGGCCCACAACAAAAACAACAAAAACAAAAAAAAACCCAACTAAAACGATACCCAAACCGATGACGGAAATACCCTTTTCGAAGAAATAATTTTGTTATAATATTTGAATATAAGACTGAAATTTGCCTGTATATTAATTCTATGCCCATGGCAGCTGAATAAATTTATATCATTTAAATGCTTCTCAGATGCTTCGATCCCACTGCATTGCCAAACCTCTTGACAACAGAGGTAATATACCCTCTGAAAGGGCACAACGACAGCCGAAAAAAGGTCTCTCTTTTCGTTGCTGTTGTTGCTGACTTTTGGCCACAAAAACGTTGAAAATATTTGTGTTTCCACTTATTTGCATTAATGCCACGAACCGATTTACTGTCTCTCCATCTGTCTGTTTGTGGGTGGATTTTGGGGGCACAAAAGCCCCAAAAAAAAAAAAAAAACAGAGGCTAAAACAATTGCCACATGTGGGGTTCAGTTCAAGGCAATAAATACAAGAGAAATACAGAAATACATGCCGAGTATTTTGTGACTTTTGATTTGGGGTTAACTGGAACTGCAGCAGTGCCTTTCGTTTTCCTTTCATTTATGCTTGGAATTAACACACACACACATATGTATGTGTTTCCACATCAGTCTCTGGGGGTAGGTGTGAATTATGTAGGGGCAAACACAAAACAACTAAAAAAATAAAAGCTAAAAAAAAAATTAAATTTAAGTTGTGAAAACTGAGCGTAAAATCGAGATTTGTTAAATACGGCAAAATTATGTATCAGAGAAAGCCAAAGAAACCCAATTGGCTGGAAATACTGGACTCCAGCCACTGCTTGAGGAAGTACAGTTGCAAGCGACCCCGCCCGGCCAGATCGGTGGGATGTACTGCTTCGAACTGCTTGCAGCCAAGTCTGCAGTCCACCAAGACGAACAAATCGGCACCTACCAAGAAATTGAAGCTGAATATGTGCTGGCAGCTGGCCAGCGATCCCGCCAACCTTACCGCTTCCATGCAAGCGGCGGTACCCGTAGCTAAGGCTAGGGGGCAGGAGAAGCAGAATCACAAACCGAAGGATAGCCAAAAACCCCAGCCGGAGCACAAGCTGGAGCACAAGCCGAAGGAGAGGCTGGAACACAAGCAGAAGGAGAAACTGGAACACAAGCCGAAGGAGAAGCCCAAGTTGCAGGATGATCTGGGGCCCGAGACGGAGTACGAACAGGAGACCATTTTGCAGGATGAGCACGAGTGCAGTGAGGATGACAAAAAAACCAAGAAGAAGGGCCCGACGCGACTGTACTCCACATACCGAAAGCAGTCGCCGCGCAGGCCCATGGATTTCGCAAATATAATATTCTTAGATGCCAGAACGATGCCGTGGGACAAGCCAAAGGCAACCAGTCAGGATGGAGATTCATGTGCGACGATCAAGCATAAGCACAAGCGCGTTCATCATTCAGGGCCGAAGGGTACGGGCCGATCGAATAGAATGTATGGCGTTCCGTTGTGCGGTCCACCCAGCCTGATCATGGACATGGTCTATCCGCCCTCCAAGCAGATACAGCTGCGGCAGGAGCAGCTCTACCAGCATTCCGAATACGAGGATCAGTACTCACTAATGCTTCAGTCGCAGCTGCAGCAGCCGGAGCACTCCCATCAGCAGCAGTCCAATGATGGCGTGCCCATTTCATTGCAGCTTCTAGCCGGAACAGAGCCGTACACAGTGCCCTCGATGGAGCAGTTTCAGCGTGTGCAGAAGGGACAGCGATACTGCGGCAACTTTTACTACAATTAAATGCAAGACTACTTTAACTACAACTACAATAAATATTTGGCAATCTGTATTCGATTGCAAGAACTTGCAAGTGCAGCGGTGGGGGAATTTTCTTCCAAACTGTGCTTTGAACTATCAGTCCTATTGCCTTGCCATAGTAGGCTTTTCTTTTAAGTGCTCGATCGTTCTACTGCTTTTCGATCACTTGCTTGCTGCTTGCATTACGGTTCCGACTGCTTGCCCAAAGACAACTGTCCCCCCCTCGCAGTGCTTTCAGGCAACCTGTTCTCTCACTTATTCACCTGCTTGGACACTGCTTTGCTCTGTGCCTGTGCCTCTGTGCCATGGCTGTTGCCCTTCAATGACCTGTGAGCAACTTTTTGGTATTTAATATACTCTTAAAGTTTGTGCATGGGAATGGGGCAGGTGGTGGGTGTGGGGGCAGGGCTTCTGCACGCAAATACAATTAAAATCGGTGAAAATGAGAGGCAGCAAACACAAACAGAAACACAGACCAAATGGCGAAACAGCAGCGAAACGGCGCAATGGAAACGAGCAAATAATGAAGTGGATAAACTTTGCTGAAACATTGAGTTTTCGAACCGAAATCCAAATACAAAATTGAACAGAGTGTGGAGCAAGAGAGAGAGTGAGAGAGAGAGCGGGAGAGGTCAGCAAAATGAGGAGCAAGCAGTACAGAAAAGCAGTGAGCCCAGTGTGGCGCAGGGGGGGGATATGCCACTGTATTATTCAAGGTATCATGGCATCGGGAGGCGTGCGCACACACATACACACACACACCACACAACCTTTTAGAAGGGCAAACAGAAAGGGAAAAGCGTGGCGGCGCTATAGCATGGGAAAACTTTTGTAATTACAATAAAATTTTCACAAATAACTTGCAATTGTTTGTGCCAGTAGAAGCCCCTCGAAGTTGTCTAAAAGTAGATGGAGGGTGGTGGGGCAGGTTAAGCAGCAGCAGCATCAGGCAGGTCCTTGGTGTCCCCAATGCGAATGTGTTAATATTATTGTGTACAGCATTTTTACCCTGTGCTACATAGTACCCACCCCCTTCATCTATGTTGCAAAAGTGACAAAAATACAAAAGAAAATGAAAAGAAAACACCGCAAGAATGTCTCCTCCTTGAGTTTGGCACCATTCTCGCCCGACCACCGAAATAAATTAAAATATAATTAAAAATAAAAGAGACACACACACACCCAGAGAGAGAGAGAGAGAGAAGAGAGAGAGAGAGAAAGAAAAGTGTATTTGAAAACGTGGACCGGAATCGAATGGAGTCGTCTCGGGACAGGGACAGGGACCTTCTTCTGCCCTTCTATGCCCGTGGTCCCCTGGTCAGCATCATTCCCACCGGAGATTGCGTGCCTGGACCACTCCTCACTGAATTCTTAATCCTGAATTCTGTATAGAACATTGTTTTGCAAATTAATCTTCCAAAAATGTCTAAGAGCCTTTCCCGGGCAGGGGAGGGGGTTCCCTTGAGTTTCCTTGTTTTCTATCTTATTTATGTGCTCCAAATTTCGACTACTTCTTTTGGCATGCAAATATTTGTGATGCTCGTACGATTGTGTGTTGCAAATATTTATGTTTAATTTTTATTAAAGTGTTGCACGAGCATCCAGAGTGTTGCACTTGTGGGCGGGCGGCGCATGCGGTGGCATGCAGCAGAGGCTGTGGGCAAATGGCAAGAACTGTGAAAAGAATCAACAACAATGTGTGGCGGACGAAAACATCCTCAAGGAAATACGTAAACCACCGTACCGACATGTCATTCCCCCCCCCCATCACATTCACACAATAAACACCACAGCAAGGAGGGGGAGACAGCAGGCAGTAGGAGGGTGGGATGGGGGTGGAGGGTGGGGCGAAGGCAAATGAATCTAAAGATTACGAATGTCTGCTACATCTTCAAAATAAGAGTACACACAGAGTACATGCATACATACATATGTACATTTGTATGCATTTAGGATTGGCTTCGACTATGTTATACCCTCTACTTGCCTCTGCTTGTCTTTGCTTACCTCTACTTTCCTCTGCTTTCCACTGCTTTCCTCTGCTTTCCTCTACTTTCCTCTGCTTGCACTCTTATATTTGATAGCTGCCCGAATTTCAGTCTTGCACATACCCCCCTCCATAATTAATGCTCTTTTTTTGTCTGCCTCATTTGAGGAGCATGCACGAATATCAATATACCCTTTGCCAGCGAACAATACACGGGGGACGAGCTGAAAAAAACCCAACACCAACAGCTGTAAGTGAGAGAGAAAGAGAGAGAGAGAGGGCAGAAGGTAGCAACGATTCACGATTGATGTGCCTGCCGGATCCTGAGAGTGTGAATGGTCGCCTCAGAGGAGAGGACTGACTGCTGGTGGAGGAGGCATTGCAGCATTGGAGCCTTGATGGATGGATGGATGGATGGATGAATGGTTGGAGAGGCTTAGTCTAGGAGCAATGTAGCTTAAGCTTAGGGCTTTCAATCGAACGGAACAGGGGGGTACGGGGGCACATAGCTCCGCTTGTTGTATTTTATTGATTTGTTTTTCCTTCAGCAGCTTGCCCCCCCACCCAAGTCACAAAGGGGCAGGGGCAGAGAGATAGAGTGAGAGAGAGAGAGAGAGCGAAAAGAAGCGGCAGCATAGACGAAAAAGGACTGGCTCTAGGTGCCGACTAATAAAGTTCATCAAGGAAAGAAGTTTCTTCTTTTTTTTTGGGGGGGGGAGAGCTGTGAGGGGAACTGTGGCTGTGAACCCACTCCCTATGCCACCCACTCACGTTGCACTCGACAAACAAAAAATAAGTTTCTGATGGTTCAAATGAATGAGAAAACAAATTTGTCTTAGCCACGGTTTCGGTCTATTCACCTCTCTCTCTCTCTCTCACTCTCTTTTTCCTTGACCAACAATCTTCCCAAAAATCCATCTACGTCAGATTCAAGGACAACTCTTATTTATTTATATTTTGCTGAAAAACTTTCTACACATAAACAAGAAATTCAATGAGATTTTTCTGCTTGCAGCCGTTGAAGTGGTGAAAACCTTTTTATTGCTATTTATAAATATATAAATAAATTAGAAATTATAAATTGAAAATCGGTAGATAGATTCCTCATTTATTCGGGGCCAATGTATAATATAAGATTCACCTGAGGCCCTGCCTGGCTATCAGAGGGAATCATTGAGTCTTGTCTTTCATGGAATTCGCAAATTAATTTAATCACGCTCTGCGTTCTAAGGTATTCCCCCTTATTCCCCCATAGAGGAAAAAAATATGTACACCTAATGATGTAATTTCAAAGTAAATAAAAATTCCTTGAAATTCATATGTTTCTCTCCCAATTGGCATTTACCGGGAAAATTGCAAGCAAAGTGATCCCAGGGGGATTTACCAGTGGGGCGTGTAACAAGTGTTTGTGGCACAACGGAATTCGCAGACCAGCCATCCCCCTAAGGGGCACATATGGAGTCTGTTAGAGTTAATATGCTGCGAAAATTATATGGCGGAATGAAGCACACGGACAGACAACAAGGTTATGTAGATATATGTACTATGTATGTATGTATGTATGTATGTATATATTTTTTAAACTGCGTTCTAAGTATGACGAAAGACATTTGCCCCGAAACATATCCCACAATTACGGAATACGTTTATTCCCTGCCGTACTCCACAGTCAAAATGCTTCGAACATTGGATGTTGGCTTCAAACTTATACACACAGTGGTAGGTGTATAACAGTTTCAGTGTAACTCAATCGGAGCAACAAATAGAAGACTGACGATGGTGGCACTTCTACTGCTTGTAGTATATTTTGCTTCTAACCAGTACTTATACGTATAGGCAGTCTTCGAAAGTATCAGTAGCATACGCATACTGCTTGTAGTAGACTTGCCTGCGTACTTATACGGGGCAGCAACCCACCCTCACACAACATTATTCGTATACAAAGTAGTATTAGCTCTACTTATACGGGCTGCTACTCTGCTTGGTACGAGTGTATACGCATCATATGCGCTGCTTTGGCCCTTAGCTTGTACTTCTACCACGCGTTGTAGCATACTGTGACAGACTGATAGTATACTTATACCGTACTTATATCAAGAGTTGTATGCTCTCTCTCTCTCTCTGAATGTATACTCGTACTCACATCGCATAATTCTTTCTTATACTTATACCTGAGCGAATATGAGAGCTTGTTGGCGTATAAGTAGGTCTTGGAGCCATTGAAAACCGGCTTTTGGTCATCTTTGGGGAGCTCCAGCCAACGCACCTGCAGCAGTGTAGTGGCAAGTGGCAGCCGTACGACTAGTAGTAGTAGTAGTAGTAGCAGGCAGCAGCAGTCCCAGCAATAAACAATGTGCTCCAACTGTTTACAGACTGCTCTCTCTCCCACTCTCTCTGTCTGCTTGCGCTCAGTCTCTCTCTCTCTCTCTCTCTCTTTAGCCTCATGCTGCATGCCACCGAACAGTGGGCATCATCGTTCGTTGTCTTCGGTTCTTTGTCGTTTTCGTTTCGTTTGGCTGCTGCGTTTGCCGGAATCGAGAATTTAGTTCGGTTTTAGCTCTGATTCCGTGTGGACGCCTCGCCCTCGACCAGCGTGTCGTTTCCGTATCGTAATCGTTGTCCGTTTCTTCGATTTGCGCGTCGCATGGAGCCTATACCCCAAACACACACACACACACACACACTCATATACACGCACACAGTTAGAGTGTATGCACAGTGGAGTCGACAGCAGCATCAGCGACAGCGACAGCGACAACAACGCACAAATTATCGAGTCTGCGCCAAAAGTGATGGCAACTGCGAACCATCTTAAAGAGGTTCCCGCTTATCCCTAAATATACCCCCCACACCCCAAAAAAAAAAAAAAACGAAAAGTGTTGCAGCAACTGTTCAGCCCAGTGCTTGTGCCCCACTCCCACTTCCACTCCACAAGCACACGACCGGCACACGCACAGGCGTAGTTAGTATCCAATCCAGTTGCCGTTTTTCGGTTACGGGTTCGGTGCCCCCTTCGGTATTCCGCCCCTACCCCCTCCTCCCCTACCGCTCGTCGTCGTCGTCGCTGTGGTCGTCGTGGGTCATGTCACATGTCCTGGTGGCTCGCTCTGCTGCCTTGTGCCTGTGCCTGTGACGCCGCCGCACCGTTTCTTTGGGTGGGCGGCAGCCGGAATAATGCCGCATTAGAGGCGCCCGCAGAGACCTACGCGAGTGTCGTCGTCGGCTGAGAATTGAAATTGGAAATTTTTGTGGTGCGACGACTGTGGCAAAAGTGATGCGAATGTAACACGCCGAACCGAACCAAACCAAACCAAAATAAATGTGTGCCATTAATAGCTGGGAGGCAAACAAGCAGCAACGGCAGCGGCAGTGGCAACGGCAGTGCCCAGTGGCAGTGTCAGTGCTATAGCTTCCAGTTCTGAGTGCGGTGCGGTGTGGCAAGTGGTGCAAGAACAACAACGACAAGAGCCACAACCATTTAAAAACAACAACAGCAACAACAACAACAGAAGCGGGCCACCAAGTGTGTTGCAAATAAACGGCCTGCAACATGGCTTTGAATATGGCATTAACGAAAGAAGAGGAACAACAGCAACAGCAACAGACGCAGCAGCAGCAGCAGCAGCAACAAACCAAATGGCAGCAACATGCAACGAAACGTCGACGCTGCCATCAACATTGGATTAAAGAACAAAATCTTCAAATTCTGGCCATGGGTAAGTCTTTAAGCAACCAAAAACCAGGACAGACACTCGCAGGACATGGGAGGACGAACCATGGCAGCAGCAGCTGTTGCACCATTCATCTGCTCTGCATGCATGTCGCATGTTGCATGTGCTGCAGCAGCAGGAATACATTGATGAGAGACTATTTCCAGCCCATTTCCATCAGTTATGGGGCGTGGTTTTGGTAACTGGCACTCTGGACTCTGTGACTGACGCCCTCTGTGGTCAGCAGAGCCACATGCCGCATGCCGCACCACTCGTAGAAATAGTTTGTCTCAGGGCTCAAGTGCCATGTGCAGCGCGTGTGGGGGTGGGGTAGGGAGGGATTGCCCACAATTGGAAGCTAATTCATAATTATACAAGAACCGAGAGAGCACCACAAAACCGGACACACACGTACAGGTACCGGTACAGGTACAGTAGTCCAGTAGTCGCTACAGGCAACAACCAACTTCCGCTGCAATCAAACGCATTATCGCTGGACAGCTTGAAACTGGTTAGAATTGGCATGGGGCATGGTGGCATGGGAGAGCAGGCAATCGGTTGCTTCTTGGGCTCTTATCGAGAGCTTCCGCCCCTCAATCCACAATCGCCACAGAGCGCTGCCTTACGATACCGAAGCCGAATATCCAGAGAACAAATCTGAAACCAGCAATCGACAAAATATTTTGTTCCCTTTTTTTTTTGGGTTTTGGGGGCGTGTGCTTGCCAGTGGGTGGGGGGAGTGGTACGCCCATCATTAAAAGCTTCAATTGATAAAGCACATCAAAGCAGTGAGGGGGGCTGGGTAGAGAGAGGGTAAAGAGGGTGGCTAGAGGGGGGGCTTTTTAGACCAATTAGTTGAAGAGTAAAGCACCTGCTGGCAAGCAGCCCCTTGCAGAGAAATGAAAACACAAAAAAACAAAAACAAAAACAAAACCAGCAACAAAAACCACAGAAATACAAAGTGGAAGAGGGGGCAGGGGGGGGGGACAAAAAGAAAAACAAGTAAATCAAAAAACAAAATCAAAATCAGAAACGGAAGTCCATCTATCTGTGCATAGGTCTACGTGTGTGTGTCGTGAGTGTGTTTGTGTGTGTGTTTGTGTGTGTGTTTGTGTGTGTGTTTGTATTTGTGGCGTAAAAGGAAAAAGGAAAAGCATGTATTTGTCAGCACAAAATAATCAAGGATCATAATATGTCAACAAACAGACAGGCAGTGGCAGTGTGGCAGTGGCAGAGACACAGACACAGAAAGAGACAGAAACAGAATCCGAGAAATCTGCGGGGCAGGCGGGGGCATTGGGCCCAGCCAGGACCCAACAAAAACAAGCACAAGGACAGCCAGCCAGCCAGCCCCCAAAACGCAGAAAAGTTGCGTATGCCAAAGTGTCTGTGTGTGTGCGTTGAGTGTGTTTGTGTGTGTGCGTTGAGTGTGTGTGTCCATGTGTGAGTTGAAAGCATAGAAATGTGTGCCAGCAGAGCAGCAGAAGCAGGCAGCAGGCACCAGCAGCAAAACTGAAGCTGAAAGCCAAAGCTGAGCCAGCAGGCAGGCAGGCAGGCAGCAGGAAAAGTGTAGGACAAACATTTCGTAATAGATATAAGGGGGCACAGTGTGGTGGGGAGGAGAGGGAGGGATGGCCATGTGTGGCACCCTGGCAAAAGTCGTCGCGACTTGTCGTTTTTGTCTCTGACAGTTGGGCAAATGTGCTGAAGTGCATTGACAATACCACGAACCGAAGTACTACAGCGCTTGACCAAACCAAAGGCAATAGCAAAAAAAATAACCAGAGGAAAAAACTCTCAAAGCAACTCAAAGAGCAAGGATAAGGGAGTGGGAGGTGAAGGCGTGTGAGATCCGGTAGAAAGAGCACCCACCCAGCCCTGCCATTCAGCATTCAAGGGGGCAAAGTGTTAGGCACACACAATGAAGCAAGACGAAGCGGGCTCTGGGCTGCTGCTGTTGCTGCTGCTGCAGATATCTCGATAGATAATCTTGCCCCACACAGTGGAGAGCACAGGGGCCACAATCTGCAGGCAAGCATCTTCAAGGCATTTCTCTCTCTTTTTCTCCCTGTCTGTCTGTCTCTCTTTCTGTCTGTCTGTGGCACACTCGGCACTGGAACTGACTTTCTGTGCGGCGGCTGTCATTCTCTGGCAGTCTCACTGACTGGCAAAAGTTAATTGCGGATCCACAGAGAGAGAGAAAGCCAGAGAGCAAGAAAGCGAATCTTTTAAAAAGATTTTAGCTCAACAGCTTCAAACGCGCTGACTGCCCTCCAATGCTGTGGCAACTCTCTGTTTCCGTATCTGTGTGTCTCTGTGTGTGTGTGTGTGTGTGTGTGTAGTGTGTGGGCAGCTGAAACTGAACAAAAACAGCTCAAGAAACGCCCCATGTTTGGCCAACACTGACTTGCAGCTCAGCTCAGCTACTACTTGTCGCTGGCTTAACGAGCGTCACAAAAATAAACCAAAACCAAAACTAAAACTAAAACTAAAGCCATAGCCAGCGGCAGCGACAGCCGCAGCGACAGTTTATAATTTTTTGAGAGCCCTCACCCCCCCTCAGTGGACAGCCTGAGCAAGCGACGACGCCCCTGCGGCACCTTGAGACGACGACGACGACGATGGTCGCAACCAGTTTAGTATTGACGGAAAACCACAGCAGCAGCCACCACCCACCCACACCGTCTGCATCGAAGCCGATTGACACAGGCCACAGAAGTGGAAGCTGGAAGCTCAGTCTCAAGAGCAGACTGGGGCAGTGGCAGGGGGCAGTGGCAGGGGCGAGCATGGGCGAGCGCGTGGGCATAAATTACGTAATTATGAATCAAAAATAAAATCTAAAACTGCTGCACTGAGCTGAACTGAATTGGACAAAGGGAATCCAGTTGCTGTAACTGATTTAGATAACAAATTAAAGTTGAAAAAAAAAAAACCATCCAACGGCTAAAGGCAAATGCCAGACAGAGAGAGAGAGAGAGAGAGAGAGGAGAGAGGGAGAGGGTTTGAATCAAGCAAATAAAATTTATAATAAATAGAAATAAATACAAATTGATCCTGGCTTCAAGTTAGATTTGTGTCTGGGCAGTTTGATTCCATTTTCCATTCTACATTCAAGAACAAAACCTCCTTAAATGGTTGGTCCGCCTTTTGCTGACATTTCAGGCTTCATATTCAGGCACTTGAAACGTTTCCCTTTTGCCTGTTCTGGTTCTCATTCCGGCTCAGTGTATCCGCAAATAGACAGAAGCTGCATGGGCCTCGGAGAAGGAAGAAATCAAATATAACTCGGAGAAGGAAGGAATCAAATATAACTCGGAGAACACTCGTAATTGTGGAACGAAAAAAATGAAAACAGAAACCGAATCTTGTGTTTAGCGTAGGCCATAAAAATACACAGACACAGACACACACATGTTTATAAATACAAATCTTCAGCATGTGGCAAAAGGTGCAGAGCGTCGTGCCAGTGGCAGGGGCAGTGGCAGTTGTCAAACAGTTGCACTTGAAGTCGCCACACCAAGTGGATCGGCGGAGAACTCCCTCCCGCTGCGTTCGTCCGTCTAACGTATCGTATCGTATCGTAGCATGTGGTAATTGGCCCCGCATCTCTCTTTCTCTATCTCTCTCTCTCTTGGTAGAGTTGAGAGTGGCATGCCACACAGATTTATTATGGGATTTTCAACACCAACATTAGATGGCCCCTTGCTACGGTTCAGCTCTCTCTCTCTCTCTCGCACACGACGAGGAGGAGTATGTGGATATCCATGTATGGCATTTGTTTTGTTGTTGTTGGTATTTTCAAGAGTTACAAAAGCCAGGTCAAAACTATTTCCAATTATCTGGATATCTATTGTCTGCTAGGAGTGGCAGAGAGAGAGGGTGGGGCATGCAAGGCGGTAGCAGTGGCAGTGGCGGTGGCAGGATATTAGCAATGTGCAGCCTGGCGTGCTTCCTACGCAGTATATCCCCCCCCCAGAACCACACCCCCTCCCAGAAGGATGCGGTGGTTGAATGGCTGCCACTCCCTGGATGATAGCGCCCTTCCCCCCTGCCAACAACCCACCGCCAGATGACTGAGTTTGATGGGTTTGCTACGATATTGATGCGAATTGATTTGGTTAGTCAGATGTTGGACAGTCGTGGAGAGCTTCCCTTCCCTTCGCCCTTCGCCCTTCGCCCATCGTGCCATCCGCAGCAGGCAGCAGTTCAATGAATAAATAAAAATGAGGCAAATCAAGCAAGATGCCAAATGAGGCTCGTCATAGACGTAGCCATAGATGGAGAAGAGGCAGAGACACAGAGGCAAAGGCAGAGGCGATGCCTGGGCACTTTTGCGTTTTTAGTGGGGAATAAATTTAATGGCTTCGGCCCTGGGTCCTTGCTCACTTCAGTTCAGGCTCCTTGCGGTTCAGTTGAGTAATTGAAAAACCATTTCAAGGTGAGACCCAAAGACGTCGATGGCTTCATCGCCAGCGCCAGCGCCTTCTCCTCTGTCTCTCTCTCTCTCTCTCGCTAATTTAAATTTATGAATTTTAGAAAAACATCTCAATATCAAGGGGATAGATGTATGCATGAATATACAATATATACATATATAGAAGATATATGGGCATCAATACTGAGTGCGTCCTTCCACGCACTTTCACTTTTCCTTGAGTGTTTAATCAAGTGTAAATAATTGCATCATTCTGCCTCAAAGAGAGTCGCTTTCCTTTGTGTTTGTGCGCCAGCAGATACGACTCTCCCTCCCTCTCCCTCTCCCTCTCTCTCTCTCCTGTGGGTGGAGTGTGTGTGTGTGGTGGGGAATGTTTGTGGCTCGAACGATATCAATATGTGGGCCAGACAATGGCTCGAGGGGGTAGGCGGCAGGGTCACACTTTTACTTGAGACACTGTTTCGCTTTCAGCAAATCAAATTCAAAGAAAGTTTGCATGAATTCTCACTTCGGTAGGCAACAAGCGGCAAGTGGCAAGTGGAAAGTGGCAAGTGGCAAGTGGCAAGTGTCT